AAAAAAAAAAAAAAAAAATAAACACATCATGGTAAAATTAATACCTTCTCAGCTTCGCATCGAAGCTAAAAGATAATTGTTAAAAATGGTAGATTCTGATGTTTTAAAACATCAGCAATATCCATTTTATTATATTAATTTAAAATGTATGGATCAAAATGAAATTTTATAGGTAATACTCAAGACAATAAAAATTTCTTTTAACATATATTTTTTCGAAAATCCTATTAAAAACATAAATTGTTTAAACATTAAAGTATTAAAGTTTAAAAAAAATATGCTTGTCCATTTTCTTTTATGAGTGTTCTATATTTTATATCCAAACATTTAAAATTTATATCATTTATAAGTTTATAGAAGTATGAAAGTGCAAAGCCCAATAAATAACAAAAAGACGTGAAGCCCCGTCAATTGTCGATTTGTCGCGTTCACACGACTGTACTGTACTTATTATATACGTTTGATTTTGCTTTGGAACAAAACATATCTATTAAAGCCATTTGATTTAAGAACAAATACAGTAATTTTTGAGAATACAATATAAATGATATATATATTTTTTAAATATTAACAACGAAGATGAAATAATGTCCAAATAACTTGGTTATATTTAAAATGCATTGTCTTAACAATATGTACTACTAAAATATTTACTCAGTGATTTTTTCTAATCAAAATCTATGATAATCTTGTAAAACATGGTAGATTGAGAATAAAGTTCTGTAAATTTTTTGTATTGCATTACTTAAATAAAATTTATGTATTCAAATATTGTTTATATTTTAATGAGTGTTTCTTAATTAAGTACTTAATTTTTATCTGTACAAGGAAAATGTAAACATTTTCAATGTTTACGTTATTTTATTTATAATGTGTAGTGTAAATGATTTATATTTTCACAGCAAACGTTTATTAAAGAACACAGTTTGTTTAAGAAAACCAGGACTATTTATAATTAAATTGCAGATCTCGCTCATTTGATCAATACTTTTCTGTTCGTTAATATTGAAATCTTCATTTAGTACTTTAATTACTCTAGTGCAACACTTTCTTTTTTTAATATAGTAATAATTTTAATAAATTTCTTCAATACCAATCGTATGGAAAAATGTAAAAAATATTATTTCAATCTAATATTTTAATACTGTCACTTTTAAGCTAAAAGGTCGTAAGCGACATTTTTTTTTTTTTTTTGAAAATAATTTACGAGTATTTTTGCGTAAGTGCGACAATTCTTTATCGATAGAGTCAATTAACGTAGTTCTATGATTATTTATGAATATAATTATTGTCTGAAGAATATGTCTAAACGACTTTTAGTATAGTCCATTATTTTGGTTCTCCTGTAAAACACACGAAAATGTCGTCTACGATCTTTTTGATTGGAAACATCAATTTATGTTGTTACAATTTTTAATGGAAAAATACCATTTATCACTATTAACGACCTAATTCATCTTCATTTTGCGATTAAAATGAAGATAAATTTTATTTCTTACTCTCTATTGAATTTTGCATCTTTTTTTGATAAGCTTTGTCCATCTACAGGAATAATAGCAGTGGCTCTAATTGGAGTAGGTATTTTTTTAAGTATACTGTTCGGAACATATCCCATTTTTGTAGGCTCGTCAACACTTTGTACTAATGACCTAAAAAAATAATATAATTTTGTATCAAATGAAACTTAATTAGTACCCCTTGAATAAGAAATATTTTTATTACAATAAGACCAAGGATGAATTTATAGGCGACATAGAAAAATATATTGTAAACCAACAATGTAAATTTATAATAAAATATAATATAATATTTACTTAAAGGCAAATGAAAATTTTATGACCATTTTTTTAAAAGAAAATAGTAACTCAGTTTCAGTTTTGAACTTTAATATTAAATCGGTGAAAGCGATTTTATTATTTTATTAATACTTGAGTAGTTAAAAAAAAAAGCTTATAAAAATAATTATTATTATTTATATTTCAATAGATAAAACACATAAAATTATTTCAAAAGTTTTTCAACTTTATGAAAAAAGTAAATGTTTATGTAATATGAACAATTAATCATTTCTTGCACAATGGCGACGATATATTCATCAAATTTGACGTGGTATCAAATGTTCTACATAGTATAAAACATACTGAAGAACAGAATGTGTGAGCAGTAGTCTTTTTATCAATATTGATATTTTGTATACCATTCACTTTTACTGTAAATCTATGTATCTAACAATATATTAATGCAGTTAGATTGGATACAAACAAATGTTTTTCGAAGCAAATATCGATCATACTCAAGAAACAGGACTATGACTTTTTTTAATTATCTTTTGATGGACAAATAATACTACTAATCGAACCTTAAAAATCACGATGTAAGTAAATGTTCTAGAAAAAATGTGATTATATATATTTTTCTCGGGAAGAAATCTCTAGCCAATCCACCCTTGAACTTGTTTCATACTAATATGTTATATAAGAGTCACAAAAAATATATTAATTGTGTACTCACATTTAGTCTAAAGTTGTTATCAAAATAGTGTATGATATTTATTCAATAAAATTGTTAAAAATTTCTAACTATCTAATTAATACAACTTTAATTATATATTATAAAATTAAAGTCATTTTGTTATTTGCAACTAAAACTAAAAGTAACTATAAATGAGTCATTTGTTTTTACATAGTATTAATATTTGTTGAGAAACCAATCTGGCAAATTTCCATAAAAGACAAAACATATCCAAGGGTTTATTTGAGTTATTTTTACTATTTAATATAATATGATACATTCATATTATTAATAACAAATAATTCTAGAATCATAAATAATTTATTTTATATGCATAAAAATAGAATTAAATGTTAGCATTAATATTAATATTAATTCAATAATTATCATTATTACAATATTTCTATTCAATTATATATTTTACAGTTAAATCAATTTGAATAACAATAAAATCCATATTTCTTTTAACCTGATAAAATAACACTAATTTTTTAATGTTATTATATATTTCACTTTCCTATCTTGAAGATAAAATCTGATATGATAATAATTTATATTACTAAATATCTTTATGTTGTTTATTAAAACTTGCATTAAGTTTTAAGAAATTCTAAGAAAACCCTAAGAAATTTTAGGAATATATTACCTATACTGATAAATAAATAAATGATAAGTTTTACATCCTTCTAACTCCTGAACTAAATATGCTACAGAGGGTGGTGGTGATGTTTTTTCACATGTTAAGAAATCAAAGATGGTTCTAGACTAAGTCAATGATGGACGAGACTGGTATTATGACCGACTTGCACCAGAGATCAGACACCACCAATAAGAAAATTGCAAGAATAATATCATTGGCACCCTGGTGATCAAACCCGAAACCCCCTGAGTCAAAACATACGTTTCTACCCAATTGGCCAGGCCAATCAATAATATTTTCTGTACTGATAGCCAAATAAAATAATTGTTTTATATAACATTCTATACAATTAATTTAAGATTTTATAAATGTCTAATCAAAATTATAGAAATATTGCGATAATAGGATTATTAATACTTCATCACAATCTTTTACGCAAAGGTGTGTTTATTTAAGTATCGCAATTCATCATATATGATGACTCGTAATATATAAATTGTATGAATTATAATTACATAAAAGATTGTGGTGTAGAATTAATAATCCTAATATCACAATATTTCTAAAATTTTTATTATAAATTTATAAAGTCTTAAATTAATTGTATAGAATATTATATGGCACAATTATTTTAATTAGTTATCAATATAGAAAATATGTTCCCAACTTTTTTCAGAGCCATAAATTAAAATTTACGTACAAAGTTATTAAAAAAATAAAAATCATTTGATTTCACACTTTGTGAAATCACTTCCATAATATACAACATGTTATCTCAAAAAATATAAGTTATGCGTATTTTTATAAATAAATATTAAAATTTAGCTTGAGTAAATTAAGACCTGATTGTCATTGAATTTTTCTGGCTTGTAGTTAAGAATTTTTTTTTTGTATTTAATTTTAACCAGTTCAAATTTCAACTCTCAAATTCCAACAAGCCAAGTGTATCATTTTAATGAGCTGATATTTATTCAATTTAAAACAAAAAAAATCAATTCTTTCTATTTTTATTGATATTTATTTTTATTAAAAACAGTATTACCAAATAAGAAACATGTATTAAATACATATTCATGCTTAGCAAAATGGAGAACTAAGAAAATAATATTTTTTGGTGCATGTTTACTGTATTTACCAAAATAAAAAGTTATTAAGTATAATTAATGTAACCATTTAAAAAAATACGTTTAGACCAACAGTCTTATTGATGAAAAATGTAGAATACAGTACTAATTTATTAAAAATATCTTTTTATACAACTACATGTAATTTTTTTTAGTAATAGTAAATAATAATATGTTGTTCAATATAGAAAACAATTGTTCTCACAGATAAATTAAAGGCATCCTGTAAAGTTCGTTTGTGACATCGAGTTGTAAATTACTTACTTGATAGAACATTAAATATAAATTTTAATAAAAAATAATGAAATCAAAGTTTTAAAATATTATCTTAAATATATTTTACTGATTTTTAGAATTCTATTAAATGATTAATAAAAAAAGTAATTGTATATATGTAAATTATAACACTAAAAAGCTATTATAAAAATTGCATGTCAAATATTAATTATACTTAATATTTTTATTGTATAAACACAACTACAATATCATAAAAACATATTTAAAATATTTGTTAGAACATAAATTTTATTAAAATCTCTATAGTAATTACATTTATTTGTTTATATAATTAAAATAAAAAATACACTACAAGAGCAGTAAGCATAGGTAACTGATATGCGTTAAAAGCCATAAAAAACACCAGTAAGACTTGTTTTACCCATGTGATTCCAAAGTTTTTTGCTTGAAGGAGTGATTTTTTTTTGGTCTAATAGACATTTTATGTTTGGCTGCTGAATTGTCCAAATGTAAATCCCGTATTACCTCAGTATCCCTAGTAACAGATTATACGTAAAAGAACACTTTTAAGTTCTTATATAGAAAACAACTTTGGCCTTGTAAACGAGCACACTTCAGTAGATAATCATGGTTTGACAGTTATAAAATTGTTGCCAAAAAAAAACGCTAAATATAGGTACATTTTCGGCCTTTAGTTCACTTTAAATAAAAAACTTGAATAATGACGTCTGAGGACGTTGTGTATATGCCAAAAATCATCGCCTCATTATTTTCATCAATGAATCCTTATGGTTTCTATCATTACACGCTCATATGTTATTATTATTATTTGATTTATTAATTTAATACAGCTCATGATCATTATAACATAAATATATAGTTTATTTGTTTTATGATCTATTTTATTACTATCACAAACATTATAAACACAATTAATTATAAAAATAAGAAAATCTAATTTAAAAATAAATTTTGCATAAATTTCTCAATTTCGAAAAATACATAATAGTTTACAATATTATAAATACAATTCATTGACAAGTATGTATGAATAGACTTACATTGATGGGTCATCTTTGGACTGTTTTAATACAACTACTCTGTCTCCAGATTCTAATATTAAATTGTCTTCTTCATCAGCTCCCTCAATAGGCTCTGACTCGTACTCTTGTAGAATTTCAAATTCTTCTCCACCACCCTAAATAAAAATTAATCAAGTATTATTATCACAAATTTTATACTAATTTATTATAAAAATTAAGTTAGTCTGATTTTTATCAATTAAATTTGTTTAATTGAGTATAACCTCTTCTGTTGACAATGCTCTTTCATCAATACTCATAGAACTGTCTCTTGTAAGTGTTCCATCATCTTCTGTTAAAGTTCTTTGTAGAGCACATTTATACATAGAATATCTTCCTGGAGTAAAAGCAGGAAGTTTCAATGCATCCAAAACATTCATTGGTTCAAATCGATGTATTCCTTTTTCATCCAATACTGAATAAGGAACTTCTCCAGTCAAAACTGATCTAGCTGCTTCACGAGGTACTACTGCTTGGAGTCCATTTTTTATTATAAGCAAAATTCCCATTTTTCTGGATTTCACCATAAAATCTTCCATAGCTAAGCTATTCAAAGGACTAAATAGTTCCAAGGGTACATCAAAAGATGTTTCAACTTTTACTTCAGGTGGAAACAATAAAATTGCACTTTCTCTGACTAGCTCACGTAAATTTGGATCTTTTCTAGCTTCATGTGGATCATTTGTCATGCTTGTTAAAGTACACTTGAATTCTGGTCTTCTCTCTGCAAGTTTTCTCATTACTGTTAATCGTCTCAATATATCAATAGTTATTTTGTCTGATGCTAGTATGTCAGAAGATCGACGGTCATCAAGTACATCTATAAGAACTGATACAACTTCTCTTAAACCAAGAGCTTTTGCGAGTGCTACAGCATCAGATAACAAACGATTAAAACATTCACTTTTTTTATTACTTAAAACTTGATTTACACTAATATCACTAGTTTCATTGATTGTATTAACGATTGCCCACTGTAATGCTTCGATGGCTTCTTTTTCAGTTTGAACGTGTTCTAAATTTATTTTTAATTTTACTAGATTTAATAGCTCTACGTTGTTTTTCGTAATATGTTCAAACGCTAAACGAAGTTTAGAATCTTCTATTTCATTAAGTATTTCGTTAAACGCTTCTGATATGTAATTAGGTTCAATTTCTGAATTACTCATAATACCTTTTAATACATTAACTTTGTTTGGATTTTTTAAATCTGTAATAAATCCTTCATCAAATACAATTGTGTATATTTCATTTAATATTGCAGTTGGGCTAGAATTTCCAGAGGACAGAATAGTTTCTAAAATAAGACCTACATTTTCTGTTGATTTATTTTGTGGCAGTTTATTTATAAGTGATTGAAGCAATGGTGATCCATAGTATGACTTTTTAATTTCTAGTTTACATAAACGATTAATTATATGGGCTAATTTTATAGTTGCTTCATTATTAAGCTCTATTTTTTCAGAAATAGCTGTAGCTATATGCATTGACGGTAAAGAGCTTACATCAACAGTTGGTAATTCAACAGGCACATGTCGTCCAATACTCATTCCAGCTAATGACAACTGTTCCAACATTTTTGAATCTAACGCCATTTCTCTACTTTTTGTGAAGTATGAAGATTGAGGAAAACTAGGTTGAAGAACTTTAAGTTCTTCTGGAGGAACTTCAAAACCTTGAACACTAAATTTATAATTACCATCGTCTTCATCATGAAGATCAGGTGCAATAAACTTTAAACCCTCTGTTGTCTCAACTACTTGTCCAGGAACAAAAATGACTCGATCACCAGTTTCTATAACTCTTCCTGGTACAAATCTAGGTCCTTCTACTGTATTTACAACTTGTCCGGGAACAAATCTTGATCCTTCTTCTTCTGTATATATAATTTGACCGGGTATGAATGTAGGCCCTGATTTAGTTTCAACTATTTGACCAGGTACAAACTTTACACCATCTTTTGTTTCCATTGTTTGTCCTGGCACAAATTTTGAACCATTTTCAGTATCAACAATTTGTCCAGGAACAAACTTAGGCCCATTGTGAGTTTCTATAACTTGTCCAGGTACAAATTGCTCTCCTCGATCTGTTACTACTACTTGACCTGGTACAAATTTATCATCGACGATAACTCCAGGAACAAACCTCACACCGTTATTTCTAAATAATTTACCAGGAATTATTTTACCAGCGGGTAAGCCAATTCTCTCACCAGGATAAAATTCAATACCATATGCAGTTTGCACCATATGACCGTAAACCTCATCAGATTTTTCTCCCATGGGATAAAATGAATTATTTGTTAAAATCCCCGACTGAATTTCATCTGAACATACGACTTCTTCAATTGATTTTGCAGCAATAAATTTGATCTGTCCATGTTTTGAAGCAGAAACACGACCCAACACAAACTGTTTATTTCCAGTTTCATCGCTTAAAATATTCCCAGACACAAATTTAGTTCCATGGTCTGTTTCTATGTTGATTCCGGGCATAAATTGCATACTTCCAATGTTATCTAATGATGTAATACCGGGTATAAAAGATGTGAAGCCATTTGCTTCAACTATTCTTCCTGGGACAAAATCTTTACGCTCTTCTTCTTCGATATTTAACCCCGGAACAAATGAAGAACCTACCCGTACTCCTGGAACAAATTCCCACTCTCCATTTTCTTTCAAAATGCTCTGACCTGGAGTAAATTCAATTTTATTACCTTCCCAAAATTGACCAGGTATAAATTCAGGACCTGTATTCGTCATTATAGTTTGACCTGGAATAAATTGTGAGATATCTTCAGTATTAATAACTTGACCAGGAACAAAACTTATATCATGTTGATTTATGATTGTTTGTCCTGGGATGAATTTTTGTTCACCATTAATAGTGACTATTTGTCCGGGTACAAATGATTCACCAGCTCTAGTTATTATATTTTGTCCAACAACAAATTTAGGAGATTGAGAATCCCCAACGACATGTCCAGGTAAAAGTTTTGGTCCTTCAGAAGATTGAATGATTAAGCCATGTACAAACATTTCACCATTTGGTGTACTTAAAACTGTTCCAGGTATAAATTTATTACCTTCTGGTGTTTGTACATATTGTCCAGGAATATATTTTTGTGTACCATCAATATCGAGTTTTAGCGTTTTAATACTTCCTTTTTCTGAATTAATAATATTTTGTGTGCCTAAATGCATATTTTTTATAAATATATCAACTTCATTTAATTGTATTAATTTGTCAATTTCTCCACCAGAAAAAAATTCTTTTAATTCTGTAAAAAACAATGAATCCTTATCTGGTGAAACACGGTACAATTTTGTGAAATTACTTATTAATGGTTTTATTGATGAAATAACTGGATTAATTGGTAAATTTGTAAGAACCGAATTATCAATTAATGGCTGATGAATAACACCTGGAAATGCTGTACTGAGATCTATAATACTAGGTTCAATGGTAATAGGATCAGGCATTATATCACAGTCAAGTTTAATATTTGATGATTTAACTATGTCAATTAACTTTTTAACAGATGGTTTAACAATGTTTTTTATTTCATCAAATTTTAAAGATTTTGTGTTTAAAACAGCGAACTTTGACTTAATAGGTGTTTTTAATTTACCATAGCCAGTAGAAAATGTTAAACGTTTTGATTTTAATTCTTCCTGCTCAAGCTCAGCTTCTCCCTCTTTTTCTTTATCTTCAAATATTTTTCGTCTCCAATCGTCTATAGTAGATTTTAATTTTTTTTTAGGCCTAATCCTAAAGCCTTCACCTTCTAATAAATGCAAATCTGATATATCTACATCTTTAACTTCTATCTCTACTGTATTACCCTTACGTAATTTTAGTAATATTGTGTCACTAGTTTCGGAAAACATTATATCTTTAACGTTCCCATCTCTAACAGCAATTTCTAAATTGTTTGGGAAGATAAGACTGCACCTACGCTTGTCTACCGCGTACACATATCTTTTTTTGCTATCACATTCACATTTTAATACTTCTGAAAGTTCTATGCATCCTTCTATAACCGGAAACACATATCTATATCCGTTTAATACTTCATGATTCGACCCAGATGTTAATATTTTTTTTCTGCCCATCAACACTGGTATATAATGATGTGCAGGTAATCCATAAGATTTACCAGTAATTCTACAAAATCTTTTAGCATCTGCTGGTGATATTGGTGGAAGTAAAGGAAAATAATTTGGTTTCGGCAAACCACGACTTCTACCGGTAATGCGACAGTATGAGGACATCTTAATATCATGATATTATGTAGATTTAAAAAATATCATTACGTATAAGAATGTGTACGCGGAGCGCGTTTGCGTAAGTATGTTTTTTGGTGTGTATAGATACTCGCGTCGGAACAGACTAATGTAAGTATTACTGTAGAAATAATATGTTAGAACACTGCTTGGGAGCTAATTTCCACCTCTGGCACTAGTCCCTGCCCGACGCAACACGAATCGAACCGAAATTCTAAAATTTTAATGGTCCAAACAATATTATCCAATGGTGCTCAAAATTGAAACCTTGCCAAGTTTCTAAGACAGTCGATGACTACAAAAAACATGAGACTCATTCTTTAAATCATTTTATTGTATTCTTCTGTATTTTTTATGAACTCAGCAGTTTTAAGAATGAATTATATTTAGTATTTTAGATGACTATTTTTAATTAAGAGTTAATAAGGTTACAATGATATAAATAGAAATTGAAATGTCCATTATTTTCAAATAAAAATAATATACTCCAATAATAGTTAATTTCAATTTTATACAGATGATAGTAAATTGCTTGTAATTTTAAAATAAAAAATAATCCGTAGTGAAACATATATTCATATAAAATTCTGGCTTAAAGCCTGATCAGTTATTTATAATAATGTACATCAAATTTTCACAAATCAAGAGCCAAGTAGATACTATGTAATGTTTAATAATAATTGTATAATTTTTAACTCTATGAAAAACATATTAAAATTCATATAAGCTAACTTGTAATTTTATTTATATAAATTATTTTATCTTTCTATTTGTTATAACCATGTGATAACGTAAAACTTTACTTTTAATAATAGTCATATTTGTAAATTATTTTCTTAGAATTAATAATATCTATGTGTAAACTTACCGCTCCTTTTTTTGCTAAAATAGAATTTAGCTCCGAAACATAAGCTGAAAATTAATAAATGGCTTATTATAAATCAATTTTGACTACTTAAAAAATTTATTGAAGCTCGGATCAAATTTTGATCCAAAATATTAAAAAAAAAATTTTAATATCTAATTGTTAAGTAATATTTTAACGAAAATTAGGTTTTACATAAAATAATTGTTAATTAAAAATTAATTATATTAAAGATACCATAATTAACTAAAAATCGTATTATTTTTGACTTCTACATTTTACAGTTAAATATTGTAATACAATATGTCCAGGAAAAATTAGATTTTATAATTGAAGAATTTTTTGTTTAAGTTAAAACTAGAATTACCAATAAAAAATTATTTTATGTAAAAATATTTTATGATTAGTAATGGCGCACTAAAGAATATATGTATTCTATTATTTTTAATTCAGTATTCTAGTTAATATTTAGTCTGTATTATCTTATTTTTTTATAAAAAAATTTATATAAATATTTCTTTCGACAGAATTATATTAATTTCGACAAAAAAAAGAATTATTAAAGTTTTAAATGTCTTTTTGGACCTTGGCCCCGTGGGTCAAGGTTAAATACATCTTTGGTTGCATACACTTCCAAATTATATTTTTAAAAGGATTCAATTACAAACAAAATAAACTTGTCGAAAATGAATGGAATTGACTAATATAAATTAACTTTTTTTATAACTTCTAAATTCGATTTTATAAATGTGTCATTGAGTTGCAAAATGATGCATGTGCAAACTTTTTTTTTTGTTATTTTGATTTTTCTTTACGAATTAGCTTATAATTAGATGGAAATATGTAAACTTAAAAAATAAATGTACTCAGTATACATTATTTAGCAACCGGAAAATTAAAATAGTTTTACACTTTAATTTAACTATAAAAGATATAGACTGAAATAATCAATACACAAATCACGTTTTACAATATATTATAATTGTTACACAACTAATTAGATTTATTTTAGTATTTTTAAGAATCATTATTAATTATTATATCAAATTCTAGGTACCTTCTAAAAAAATTTACTAACATAACATTCACTATTAATACTACGTATCACAAAAAAATATAAATATCCTTAAAAAGTAAATTTGTTTTAATATTTAGTCAGTGTTAATAATAAAAAACAAATTTTTTTATGATTTTTGTTTATTTTATTTCACAAATTTTTTTTTTTTTATGATACACAATATGTTATTTTTTTAAATAATAATACTCAAACGTAATATTATAATATACTTCTTACAAAGAATAAATTAATATATTAGTATACATTTAATGAGGATTTTTATTAAAAAAAAATTATTATTATTTTAAATATAATACTATCAATATTAAGGAAATAACACTGCTCTAAAAGGCCCAAAAAATTAAAACAAAAAACGAGAGAGAGGGCAGCAGAAACTTTTATACAAATATATATCTTTGATGCTTGTTTTTGCATCTACAAAGCGTAAAATTGTTGTTAGTATACCTAAAAGTTGTTACGGCAAACATCGTTTTGATTTTTTTTTTAATTATATAGTCAAATTTTATAAATGTACCATAGCGAAAAGTTTTGTAAATGTACTTTATACTCTTTTGCAATTTGAGACACCCTACAATGCATATAGAATATCTAAGACAATAGCGCAATTAGAAATTTTATATGAAGGTCCGATAGGTATTAGAACATAGTGAGAACTACATGAGTAATGGGAAGATTCACCCCTCTATTACCTCCAAAATAATTTTATGTTCATCGGGGGAACCTAGACACGGGGACCTCCTTGGTTGCACCATTAGTCTCAGATCTAACTGATAAAACTTATAACATTAGATCCAATTATTATTTAGCTTAACATTTTTTTTTTAAACTACATTAAAAGCTCTGCATACCGTTGCTATATACCTATTTGTGTATTAAAGCCATAGAGCAATTAACTAATTTGTTTTTTTGTAGGTTTAAGTTTTATAATTTAGTTTAAAGTTTGATTAAAGTTCTTGAGATTTAATAAATGCTTAGATTTGCTATTAACCCATCAAAATTGTTTGCATGAAAAGTAGGAGTAAATTTTAAAACTTCAAATAAATATAAATAAATTTATTATTTTTTCTTATCAGAAACTAATAACACCAGTTTAATAAAATACGATATTAGAAGTGGTTAAAAAAATTATTTTTCAATAAAAACTAATAATATGTCATACAATCATAGATTAGATGTCCAATTAACTGAGTCTCAACGGAACTAGATTTTTTTAATACAAAAATTCGATAAAATGTTCTTATACACAATAATTTATTTGTATACTATAAGTTATGGGTTGGGCCAGCGAGATACCGGGGAAATTCCTGATGAGTCCGTTGGCCGATATAACAGGATTGATAAATAGATAGCTATTTGATAGATAACTGTGTTGTTAGTAGTTGTATTATCAGGGGCTCCGGAACTATTTTTTACATGGGGGGAGCAAAAATTTAATGACTAACACTAGGTCCTCCTGATTGTTACTTAGCTAAAAGGTGAGTTAAGCTATTTTTTGGTGGATTTTAGTGATCATATAAAAAAAATTCGGTAATTTATAAATTTTACTCTTAATAATACATATTTTATTCTGGTTGAATTAATCAGGACCAAAAATATTAAAAAATTTTCTCAATTTTAAATATTAAAAAAAATTCTCAAAATTACACTACTGTAAAAATTGTTTTTTCAACATTTTTTATACATTTTAAAACAGCTATACTTTCTTTAAAATACTGACCTAATTAAATTTTTATTGCGTACGCTAAAGAAAAAAAAATATTGATATGCTTTAAAGAAAATCAAATAGAAAAACTAAATACAGGAAAAATTTAAAAGAGATCACCCACACAGTTTTTTTAAGGCAATTTTTTGATATTGTTTCTCAGGTTAATTTTTTTTGGCAATTCGCTGCTGTATAGTTTCAAATCATATGAAATATAATACTTGCAAAGGTAATTTATAACGTTAAAAATAAAAATTACAGTGAAAATTTTCCAAATTTAATAAATACCCTTAAAATGTTCATTTGAAAAGTTTTATCTTTTTTAGTTCGTTAATAATTGACCTTTGCTATGACAGGATAAAAAAAAATATTATAGGCATCACCTTTAAATATTTAGGATGAATGTCAGATCGTATTCATAAAGGTATTATAACTCCCTTCCCCTATTGCTAATAAAGGAGAGTTTTAGTAGTACAAAAACAACATATTATTATTATTTAATATAAAATACTTACGTTGTTTACGTCTAGGCATATTTTTGTAGAAGTATTTTTGCTATTAAATCCACCTGAAAATTAAATTTTACTTTTAATTAATTCTGTTTATTAAGATGATAAGTGATTTCTTTACGACCATATGAAAATTCAATAATTTTATATATTACATCCCTTTTTCAGTAAAAACGTATGTTGAGAACATTTAATTTCTATAAATATCGTGCATTACAGTATCGCCAATGTCAAATTTTATGTGTATTACGTTGTAAAAAATATTTAACTGGAAAACCAATAATCACTACTACCAAATTTTTGTTAGTTTTCATTGCATGTAATTACAAACATTCATTGGAAAAAGTATGTGTCGCGATACACCACACATCCATTATTCATAAGCTTCGATGCCAATGTGCTCATATGATCTACTTAAAAATTATCCTATTTTAATTTGAATATTATTTAAAAATTTCTAAGGAATGTATGCCTGTATTTGCCAATAGGAAATCAATTTTTGTAAAAAATTGGGTTCGAAAAAAAAATTGCAACTATTAAAAAATAAAAAATAAAAATTTGAAAAGTTTGTCAAATATAAAAAGTTTTTTAAGTTGAATTAACGCGTGCATGACTATTAAAAAAGTACCTTATAATTTCATCTTTTAAAAATTCAAATTATCTAAGCAATTTTCACTGAATAAGTGTGATAGGGCTTCTAACCCCCAGGACGCAAACCAAAACGTATTTAGGGTGGGCTAGAAGGAGCGATTGTTCGAGGCGACACAAGATTTTTACATAGCAATGATTGAATTTTTTTCATTCGGGCATAAAAAATTTTTTTTGTTAACCTTTTTTTCATTCATCAATAATTTGGTAATTGAAGACGTATGGGCGAAAAAAATGACTATCAATAAAAAGTTGTAAGGGGTTACAACACATTAGCACCCAAACGTCAAGTTTCTGAATATATTTCTGACGAAA